CGTCGCTGAGAGAAATTCGGCCGCCGCGTCGCTAGGGTTGGGGGTCGTGGGGGTTCGGTCTCTGCCTCTAAGCGCGACATATTATGTCCAAATTCGTCGAGCAGAGTGCGTTTATCTTCGCTGCCGGTGTACTTCCTCGCCAAACGGAAACGTAATCCTTCTCGCGTTGCCGAGTTCGCATTGCATCGCGTTTTGGGATCCGAGTGCACGGGTGCGCGCTGCCGTGATCTTTACCCCCTGGTCTCTCACTCTAACCACTCACCGGTCTGTCTGGGGGATTCATCTCCTCCCCGTCGCGTTCAATCACGCGCCTCGCCGGTGCCGACTACAAGCAAGTCAAACAACAAGGTCGGAAAGTCAGATGCGATGAACTTGGTCCGGCTCTGAGACGGGTTCTCTGCCTTCGCTTCATTGCAATGAACCATTCACAAGGATGACTTGTCGCTCTTCTAGGTGTGTCTAACTGGTCCGTCGGTCGCTGCTTGTTATGATGGGTCGGTCGACCCAGTATGCTTGCATGCTTTCCTTATCAGCCATTGCTCAAAACTAGCACGAATTAAGATGACAAAGACGCTATTAGTCGCTTAAATCCCGACGAAGGCAAGGAGCGCCTTCAGTCGCGCCTTCTCTCAGCCGGTCAACCCGCCGACACCGCTCTTGCGGCCCAGATGCCGATGACTGGGCAAAGGCTGGCCAATAAGGAAACAAATTTCATACCTCGTTTTCCATTACTGGGTACGCTTCGTTGTTTCTTGGCTCCGGTGGGTCGGTGTAGTTTGGCTGGCTCTTGGTTGTCTCTACTCGCTACCTTAGCGAAGAGACGTTAAAATGATATTGAGAGAGAGGGACTGAATTGTGCAGATGCTCGGTATGTTGGAGTTCACTTGCTGTCGTACCACCGTTGTTGCGAGCATTTAAGTCTCTGTAATGGTTTACACAGCTCGCGCCAACGAACACAACGTCGTCGTAATGTCCCATGTGAACTGGGTGACTTTTTCAGGCCCACTTTCCCCAAAAGATTTCGCAACGTAACGTAGCATGTGAATCCAGTATTACGCACACACGGCCACACGACCACACGGCCATACGGCCACACGCACACACCGACAAGGGCGCTTCGTGCTGGGGCCCCGCCCAAAAATTGGAATATTTAAAACGATTAGTTTCAAGTGGCCATAATATATCATTACACAATGTGCAAATGGCTCACTTTGCGCTATTCGCAAAGATGAAAAGGAATAGGCATACGGAAGAGGCAATATCCCTGTTTCTTTAGTTTAGCTACTACCACTCCTTCGTACAATTGAAGTCAATAGAGTTACCCAAAATATAAATGATATAACAAAACTAATTGGCGATAATTTTACTATGAACTTTCTCGGCGCTCTCAAAAGCGCGGTGTATTTTACGTACTTTAATAATCGTTTGTTTCACCAATATGCTTTTTTCCTCTGGCGGCCATGCATGGGTGTGTGGTTAGCAGTTCACAGGCTGCTCTCCAATTGGCGAGCAGCCAAGTTAAGGAACCTGCAAGTTAAGGAAACGTACTTCCAACCGCGGGCTGGACTTCCGATGATTCTTCGCTTCTTCACTGTCGCTGCCTGAGAACTCCTGGCGGGCGCTCGCCCCTCCCAAGCGTTCAATAGCGCAATGATTACATTTCCTGAAAACCACCAACGGATTTATCTTTTATTGTACTTTTGAAGCTCGTCCTCAGAGCCCGAAGGAAAGAAGAAAACACAGCAACAGCCTCCTATCGTGGTACGCACCGGTGTACGGTTAGTGCAGCATGAATAATTTAAGCATAAACCTGACTTAATAAGCTTACTTTGACACTAAAGAAGAAGACACGGGCATGGCGGTAAGATTAGACTTGTATTTGCACAACTAATGCATTCTTGCAGTTTATTGCGAACCTTAGGGTTGATGCCTCTGGTCTTGCAGGTGGGCATGTGCGCCCTGTATGCTTGCGCCTCTCAAACAATGGCAGCGGTGCGCAGCAGCAGGAATAGGAGTCTTGGAGCGGTTACTTCCGGCCGGTCAGCACTGCTAGTGCTGACGCTGGCAGCTGTCCTACTTGCTGCCACCGGTAAGGGTCCCTAATCTCTATCTCAGAAATTTCGATTTCAATGTACTCCAGCGCCCTACAAAGCAACGCAGACACTCCTGGTCATTGGCCATCGTTGCCAGCAGCAGTATTAATCGTTGCCAATCCTCGTAATGTGCTGCTGGTTGGTAATGTTCTTGCTGCTGACTCTGACCGACCTACTCTTGACCACCTTTGCTATGCGTGCGTGGGAGTGAGAGAGAAATGATCTTGTAAAACAACCTTGTAGGTTCGTTAGCTCGCACCTTGTTAGGATGCTTCTGGCTATCTAGGATCATCTGAGCATCCTTTCCATTATACCCGGGTATAGGTTTGAATGCTGTGGAAGGCGCCCCTCGACCACCAAAATCTCCAAAGCCATCACCTCGCCCGCCATCGCCTCGGCCACCATCACCGCGCCCGCCATCACCGCGCTCATCAAGCCCGCCACCACTGCGCCAGTCTCCACCCCCTCCACGCCCAAACAAGGCACCCCGTCCGCCCCCCCCTACCCCACGACCCGGTGAGCATACGAATATCCCTCTTTCTTTCCTCCAACTAACTAAATTATTATTACCCAGTGTATGGCTCCTTGGTCTGGTTCGATGTTCACACTCCACTGGACATGCATAAAGTGCTATACAGCAGGCCACCAGCCACACTATATTGCAGGAAGACCATGCATCTCTTCCTCACACGCCGTCTAGTTACCTGGCCCACAAACACATCGGCACCAAATGTATGTATGTAGGGACCCCTGCTGCTCAGCTGGTTCCCACGAGCCCTCCTCTGCTTTTTAGCCCTTCCTGAGTGACAGCAGAGGCTGTCTGCTGGTATGGTTCCCAAACCTACATGTGCTGCATGCTTTTCAATGATGTTCTGATCTGGCCACTGCTGCGACTCTTCCTTATCCGTCATCTGCTTGTAGAAGGTGGCCTCCGATTGGTTCGCGGGACAGCGGGAAATGTTGGGCGGCTGGAGGTGCAACTGACCTATCCCGACGAATGGGTTGCTCTATGTGATGATGGCACGTTCACTGCCTACGAGGCCGGGGTGGGTTATTACATGCATATGTATGCAATCATGCGTTGTAGCAGTTGCTCACCTGGTGAGACGACTGGCTTTGCGGAAGCGTGGAATTCAGGGTCCTAACTGAGGCAGGAAGACGTCCAACCCAGCGACAAGCACTAGTGTGCATAGACCCTAACACAAAACAACTAAGACGGCGGCAGCGGAGTCTTGAACACCGAACATCAAGTAATCGTGATACTGAAGTGCCTGGCCAGTGCAACCCGCCTGGGCAGCTTATATCTCGGCCTACCTGCAGGAGATTCCCTACTACGGACCTGCCGTACTAGGATACTATCGGTGGGGCCCGGGGCCCCAGCCAGTTAGGTTCGCTACGGGCAACTGCCGTTTTTGTGACATGTCACGATAGTACGTGACATGTACGAAACTTGAGTTGAATCGTCAATGAAGTTAACGGTTATTGTTAACAATAACCGTTGCAATATTGCAAGGAAAATGTAGCGTACTACATGTGTGAATGCACAAAGTAGACGGTGTTAACCGTAAAAAGACCAGAGCCAGTGTTTTAGATGAAGCGCCCCAGAGTGGCATTCAGATGGCGTTCTTAACCAACAGTAGTTACAAGCCACCGGCTTATCAATGAGGAAATCAGTAAAGTAAGGTGCTGGCAGCAGAGCGCTTTAGCGTTTATTTGTAGATGATGAGCGCGCCGTACTGTATGTGACTGCATCGGCAGAGATGCAGGCAGGCAGATATACACATTTTTTCCCACCACAAATCCCCAAGTGCTTACCCCGAATATACCTGGAAACATGGGGTTCACTCCACAATTTCATGCCTACAGAATGCACACACATAGTGGTTTTTGTGGTCTAGTACGTTAGGAAAGCTTTTGACCACCTATGGGCGACACCTCTGTGTAGTAGGTAGGGACCGTCCCACGAGGGTGTCGCCTACAGGTGATGAAAATGTTTACTGGCGTATTTGGCCCCATTCCCCCATCTCATGCATCTACAACGGCGTCCAATCCCTCACTCAGCTGGTGCCCTGCCTCCCCTGCCTCCTTTCCTCCCCATCACATGGTGTCTTTACTCGGTGCTGGATGCACATGCTTTCCGTTGGCTGGTGGGAACTTCAAACGGCTCGGTAATTGATTCATGGCCCTCCATGTGCTCAAGTAGCTCTTTTGCAAGATGTTGGGCTACTCTTATGGCCGCCAGTTCTATGCCCAAGGCATCAGCACCTATGGCCCCGATGAATCCGATCCGTAAGTTTGTTCGTGTTTTGTGTGCATGTGGATGGACGGATCCATTCTGTGCTCCTAGGAGCAGGCCTGCCTCTCACGACCTGGATCCTGAGGCTGAGGTAGTATTAAAGTTACTGCTGCGACTGTGCTAGCCGGCTAGAGGGAATGGAATCCAAGCAGCTGCCAAGGCAATTACCTACTTTGCAAAAGCGGCCGACAGCCAAGGGCAGTAGCTGGCACCTGATAAGGCCTCCATAGATGCTTGCAGAGCGCCTTAGCGCGTATTAATAGACGACATGTGTGCCGTACTATGTACAGCTACTGCACAAGCCACATGCATTCTGGCTGCATGGCAACACTGCGGCGGCTTTAGTGGTGGCATTTCGAATTGTGAAGGAAGTTGACCCTGTTGTTGTTCCTCACATGCCATACCGTGTTTGAATTGCAATCTATGCAATCTATGCACGCACACCTGCTGAAACACCTGTAAATTGCAGCAAATTGATTGGAGCCCAAGATATGCGCTATTTGGGTGTGCTTATGTTGCTGTTTGAATAGTACAGCGACCATGAAGTCACTCGTGAAGAGCTTACTTGGTTAACGTTGCTTGAGTCCGATGGCCCCACACCCAACGTGCAGGCCAGCCAGGTTTAGACTGTTGTTTCGGACCTTACTGCCCGAAATCCTTCGCACCCTCTCGTCACCCTGCCGGATCCACGGCATCCTGGATTCATCCGCGTCCTGTTTGACCCTGGCTTAATGAGCCCTGATGGCCCACTGACCCCTGACCTACGGACCCTGGCGTACCTGCAACCCCAACACTCCTCTTCACAGGCCCGAGCCTCGAGGGAACTTGGTGTGCACGGGTGATAATGATTCCCGGCCGCCATATGCGTTCTTCTCGCAAATGATCAATTTCACTAGTCAGCAGGAGGTGTCATGCCAGGCGTTCCACGTTGCCTGCCCCCGCAACATGTTGGTAGCAATGGAATGTTCCAGTAAGTTTCGTATAATCATACTTGTTTTTGTGTCTATGTGTCTCCTACTCGTAAGGGAATGATGCCTTTCCTGGAAAAAGCACATACCTGCCGATAAGGAAATTCGTCATAACATGTGTCGTAGCTGTCGTACGCATACATGATACATAGGCATCGTAAAACGCTCTGGCAGTAGCAGCACCGCCTGTGTCATTTTTGGCAGCGGACTCACATACAGCGGCCTCGGTACCTTGACATGCATGGTGGTGGAATTGATGAAGCAAGGTCGTCAATGCAACCTGGCCGACTGACTTCATAGCAGCTGCTATTGGAGACGCCAGACTGAGCATAATGCCCTATCACGACTTCAGAAAAGTACCGATTGGCGGATGCCCTAGATACTACACATAGCATTAGTTGGATGGTGTTATGTTCTGGGTGTATCACAGGACCTGACATCCACCGGTACTTTTCTGTTGCGGTGATACAGCACAAGGTTAGTGAGATGAGAATGAAAAGTAGCGGTTCATGCTTACTGAGATGCATATCAATGCCTTATCTGAAACTAGCTCGGCTCGCTGCATGCAATCAGCCATCTGCATGGCGCCATTCACGTGACTAGCCACCCATAGCCGAGTACAGCAGACTAAGGTAGGCACTGGCTGTGTGGCCGCCGTGTGCAGCAACGGATGGGGACGCCCTCCTCAAGAAGGGAATTGTAGTACGGCACATACCGCCAGTATAGATGCAAGGTGTTGTATGGCTCAACCGCACAATGGTGGTATGGAAAGATACCACCGATGAGACAACGAAGTGGTTGATTAAGTAGCAGTACTATCGTACTGGCTAGTTGTCGGATCCACTTGGGCCTCATGCCGATAACCCCCCCTACGACTGGGTGACGCGATCTTCAGACGACCGCAATTTAAACAGGATTACTTGGAAATCAGTTGGCCAGACGAACCAGGAACGTGGGTTCCAGCTTTAACCAGGTAAAGCCCCGCCCATACGCAGGTTTGGACTTCTGTCCGCAGCAGTGCGGCGGCATTTAGATGGCGAACTCGAGTTCGGCCAACAGTAGACGCAAACCACCGGGTTTCAGTTAGTTACAGCGGTTTTAAAGGGGACCAAACGGTTTAAATCGACAGTTAGGGAAACAGAGCTGTGAGCAGAGGTTCGCAAGTCGGTTTCCCCGGCTGCAGGAGGGCATAATTTCGGTCAGTAAACCTAAAATTCTTGTTTGGGCGACAAACTAAGGTGGCATTATAAATGTTGCTCATTCCGTACACCTTGCAATCCGATCGTTTTACAAGGCCACGCCTTACACCTCTGTTCGTCGTCATGCCGGCCCATGCTTGCGCACGCTGCACATGGGTGGAAACAGCCATGCTAGCACCGCATCAACAAATCACATGAGTGTGTAGAGGTGCATCCTAGTGGAGGACTTGCACTTGGCCATCGTCCCCTTAAAAATGCATCCTCCCCCTTCGAGGACCCCGACATATTCAGCTTCACGAAAAGACTGTCGTTAAGCCGAATAGCTGGCAAGCGTGTCTGCTGGTCCCACTTCATGTCGGTATGGGCGGAAAACAAACACTCGCAATTGACCGGCGTGGGCTTAATTTGCACACAGAGCAGCGCGAGCTTCCACATCTCCGAATTAAGGTGCTACTTTTGTGCGAGCTTGGGTTAGATTAATGTGGTGGCTTGCGCACGTGTTCCATCAGCCCCTCCACAGCATCAGCACCCTCATAGCCCTCATCACCAACACATAACACTCCCCCACACTCACGGCCCGTGAGCCTAACATGATAGCTTACAGGATACAACCAAAGGAAGCGCCCTACACATTGCGAAGCCTTTTCGTTGGCCGGCTATTACATCTTCTGGCGCTTCACTTTCTTTCTCTCTCTCTCTCTCTCTCTCTCTCTTTCTTTCTCTCTTTCTTTCTCTCTTTCTCTCTCTCACTCTCTTGCTTTTGCTCCCCACGCTTGCACAATGCGATGAGTGTTAGATAGATACTATTCATCGGAGAAGTGAACAAAGTACACCTAATTATGATGCTTCCCTGTTGCATTATTGTTACAACATTATTGTTGCTTTATTGTTGCATTGTCGCTGGCTGTCCTGGCCCGCCTCCGAGACTACTCCCCCTGCCATTCCCCCCATCCCAGAGACGCCGTTTAAATATAATGGGCCTCCACCGCCGCCATCTATCCCCAGTAAGTCGCCTCCATGTTATTGCGGGAATGGACCCACTTGGGTGGGTTCCGGGGCCCAGTGACGGCCATGTATAGCTGCTGCTAGTGCTGCAATAACCGGCCAACATACAAAGCCATGCATGCTTCTAGCCCCTGTTATGCATGTTACACTCACATAAAAAATAATTGGCGTTTCTCCCGCACTGCTGTTTGGAACAACTTAATATACATGGTTGAAAACTCTACTCAGCATCAGCAGGTTTGGCTATTTACTATTTACTGCCAGGCTGCGGAGCCTGTTCATCTGTATGTTCATATGCTGTGCATACCGTACCGCTATGGCCGATTGGTGATTTCTGGATTGGTGAAAGTAAAAAACGCTTCTAGAATTAATCTTTCCAACACCGGAATTGGTAATACGGTTTGGTGTTACCCCGTCCACTTTTTCCCATTGCCACCGAATTGGTGAAAGCCGCCAACCGGACTGCCCCCCGTTCACTGTGGGCCCTCCGAGGCGCCCCAGGCCCACATCAACCAATCTGCAGTCGCATGTAAACGTAAATGTATATGTGTAATCAAATACCCTTCCCTTGCTCCTTCTTTCATGCAAACAAGAGGGTTGTTCTGAACGATCATGGATAGCATGCACATCAGCACACTACCATAATTATGAGTGGTGTAGTCCATGACCGTTCAAATAATGTTAATATGTCCCTGGCGGTTGTCTACCTGCTTGCCCCCGCCCTACACTTGCAGGTCCGCCACCGCCACCACCCCCACCGCCCAGCATGCAAGATCTCATCCGCCTCATCCGTCTTAAAATATCAAGCCCCTGGGCGCCCGAAGGGATTGTCGTGCTTTTGGTCAACTCGGCGGATGGTGGCGAGCCCGTATGGGCGCCCTTGTGTGCTGATGGTATAGCTGGAGAGGATACGATTGCTAACATGCTGTGCAAGCAGGTGACATACATGGGTACAGCAGCCAGATTAATCTTTTCCTTTCCATTGCCCTCGTTCTGCACGCAGTATCAATCCCCTTATGTGAGGTCATCCATCCATCCATTCGCCCATCCAATCCTCTGACCTTTGTCTCCTGCCTGCCTTGTTAACATCCACCCATTCACTCACCCATGCTGCAGTGCTACCGACTGACTGTGTTTCTGCATACAGCTCATCCCGCATCTCAGCCTGCTACTTAGTGTATGTGTGCTATTATTGCCCCTACCCACCGTGCACCTGCCTAAATATATCGATCACATTTCGTTCACCTCTTTTCCGGCAATTCAACAATCTGTCTATTCGAATCTCCTGCCTGCCTTGCTGGCCCTTGCTGGTGACTGGATGCTTCAACCATTCGCACCCATGGGTGTGTCATATCTGGCCAGAATGATGGCTTCCGTGACACACCCACCCGTATGGTTGAAGGATCCGCGTGGAAGGCAATCGAGATTACACAGGGTGGGTCCCTTTATCACTAAATCCTCTTGCAACCTAGTATGCCTAATAAAGTAAGGCCAGAGCTGACTTTAAGCCTGGGGTCGCATGCATTGTTGTACCGGGTGCCGTATCTGCACTTCGGGAGTTCATGCAGTAGTGCCAGGTTTTCCTGCCACACCTTGGCTAGGGCACACGAAGACGGTGTCACCCAGGGGAGGTCGTCCCTGTTACGAATGGCTAGTGTAATGATTGATTATCCTTAAAGCTTATTACACAGTCTTGCTTCTCACTCCCAGCCCGAGCGAGGTGAGTGACACCCCCCACCAGGCCACCAAGCCCAAAGCAACACGGCCATGCATGCATGCTTACATGCATGCACTCCCAACCCCATGCTACCTCCGTTCGGTATCACATGCAATTTCGGTTTTTCCTTGGGCCCCGTCGCCCCATAATACCCCCCTCAACTTCTGGTGCAGACAGAATGAAGGTGTGAATGAAGATGCAGATTAACCAGCGAGCCAGCTACAATCGATTGATATCTCCACTGTGTGTAGACGAATTATCATTGGCTTCCCGCAAAATCCCCAAATATTTAAAGGTTTTTTATATTTGTCTGTAGAAGGGTCATCATGTAATAGATAGGACTGAGGAATAGTTCGTACATCGGTTCATAGAATGGCTTGTAGATCTTGCCCTTAGTGTGTTATATAATACGTATATGCATTTCAGTCCTGAGAATAGATGGTCTATAGGCATTCCCCAATTTTACAGACGAGTTGCACGTAGACTTACATGCAACATACTATGTGTCGTGTGCATGTGAATCTGCGTGCAGCATCTACAATCAGCGATTTTAACCCTTCCGAATATTCACACTGGGTAACGGTGGTGGGCGGCATCAGCAGCAGCGCCTACACAGTGTACGACACACAGTTGCAGGTAGGCAGTGCGGGGGCGGGGGCCAGCTCAAGGTCGCTGCCACGCACTGCACTAGCTAGTGGGGTTAACGGTAAATGTGGGAAGGTGTATGTGGCGCCCTGTGTTATACCATGACTTCAGAAAAGTACCGATTGGCGGATGCAGATCTCGTGATATGCCCAGGATCCTATACCCTGATGTTTGTGTATGGATACTGACAAATAAATGCGCCACTCAAGTGCCGTTCCTTACTAAATTAGATAGGCACAGAGCCACATGCGAGCTGCTGGCAGGCATTTGATGTGCACTCCCACATGTATGTTCTATATTGTCAATATTAACCTGCGCCTGCCACTAACGTCAGCTGCGGTCCATAGAAGTGCTAGCTATCCAGGTAGGTGGCTATCTTGCATTGCGTTGTACACATTGTGTGTATGTGCGTGCTGTGCTCCGACAGGTGACAACCCAGCCCTGCTCCTCCGGCTACCTGTTCCACGTCGTCTGTTATACTAAGATGATGGAATTTTAATTAGCATAAGGCTGGAAATCTACACAAGAAACTTCACAATTGTTGGAATGTGGCTATCAATCATATACCCATAAGAGGGATCAAAGGAAACGATTCCGAAGAGTAAGCTTAATCCTTAAGGAATTTCGCTGACAAAAGGGCATGGTTTCCTCGCGTATTGGGCACAGTGCTGAAAGGCCGTTGGTTCTACGCTCGTCGGTAGTGAGAAGTCTGGGATGGAGCACTAGGGGGGTGCCCAGAGTGAGAGAGTGGCACTCGTGAGGGGATGTTGGAATTTGATTGGCACTGTCAAATCAGTGTATCGTGTCAGCAGTAATAGGAACCAATCTCTAGATGCCACCACTACATGCTGATGGACGGGAATGGACCTGCAGTGGCCTGCCAGGGTAACGTTATACCCCTTACTTCCCACCACCCACATAAGCACCGCCTCACATTATCCACTTGGCTGCAAACCATAGGGTCCTAGACAACCAGGACGTGTGTTCATACCATGTGTTATCTGTCCTTCTGCTGTGCCACAGTGTGTTGTTCATTGTGTGTTTGCTTTCGCCATTTGTAGTAGCTGGCTGCTGAAAAGGCCTCTCTAGATGCTGGTGGTCGCGCTTCGCGCGTATTTATATGTACATACATATATATAGCATTTGTATAGCCGTACTGTGTACCAGCTACTACACCAATGGTGGGTGTAGTCGGCCATACATGATACACCCATGCCGCCCAATACTGTTAACAGCAGCATCTAATGCTGCTGCTGCTGGGTCATGATAGAATGCGACTGGCGTTCATGGGTAGATGTTTGGATTGTAACCCTAGTCACCCTAGGTTGGTTACTAGTGAGCATGGGCTGTTGTGGAAGTGAGTTCAAGTTACAAGTTCCACACAAAAGTATGGGGAGCTCGAGCTCCCAGGATGCCTCCATAATGAAAGGCCGGAGGGCCCATAGGCTGCGGCACTAGCTAGCTAACTGTTGCAGCAGTAAATAGAAGCACATGCATATTTTCTGTAAATACATGCAGAGCTGATCTACCAGCATCTTCAAAAACCTTTTCAGCGGCCAGCTACTACACCATCCAGGGGGAGACCGCATTTTCCTCCCAGATAAACTTCAGAAATCAATAATCCAGGATGAGCCCTAGGCCCCACCCAACCTGCAGCTGCCATGCACACTGTGCATACATCTAGATATGCTCAGGTTAGGTAATACTGGTTACGCAGCATGTCACCCTGTTGAAAACACATTTAATTGCAACCTGAGTGGAACACCCGAGACACTAATGATTGTTTCGTGTGCAGGGCTGATCATTCATATGGATGTGAAGGAAGCATGGATTGCTAGCGGCACCGCGGGGTTTGGAGTCATTATGGCAACGGCACGGGGTCTGACACCATGGGAGGCGGGGAGAGACCTAGAACAGCAGTAACAGAAAGTGATCCATACAGTTAGTGAATCTCAACACCATGTCGCTACTGCGATTAAGCTTTTAATAGCTTAATATATTCTATGGTAAATGTAGCTGGTCCCTGTCATATCCCCTCCCGTACAAAGCCCCATCCGGGGCCCACGCTACTGCACTGTGTCGCCAGGGTGGTCATCACTGCTGCAGCTGCCTGCTGGAGTTGAACCTGCTTGCTCCAGGGGGAGTACCGCTGAGCACCCCCATCAGGATTCTTCCCTGTGTATGTATCAACTGGTGGTCAGTGTTTTTTTTCGTTTGGGGCCTAATACCCTAGAGTAATAAACTTAGGGTTTCTTGCGGTTACAATTCCTTTTTGTATAGTCGCTGGGGGGGGCTGCACCCCCCCCAGAAACCCCCCTCAAAGGCTGTACGGTGTGCTGTAAACAACACCTGACGTCTGGAAACACACATGCCGTACCACCATTTGCACCAGTGTCTCTGTGACACTATGACGACGGGTGATCGCGTTATGTCGCGTTAAACTCGCGTTATGAGGCTTTAACGTGAGTTTAACGCGACGCAAACGCGATGTAACATGATCTTAAGCACTGATAACGCACCGGTTCGCTTGTGCATATGGCCTAACGCACATCATCTTTATTCGCATGCGAACGAGCTGAGTAATTTTGGCTGGCAGCCTGCCAGCCAACACTGAGTGTGTTAGCTTAAGCAACTAACGCAAACTTTACGCGATAGTAAACGCGACCAGGTGACTTTTAACACGAGCGTTACCTTACCTATAGGTGTAACGCATACGCATGCGAATGGTGCGAATGCATATGCACATGCGAATGTGGCGAATGAATTCGCGAGTTTTACGCGACCCTAAACGCGACCAGGTGACTTTTAACGCGAGCGTTAGCTTAGCTATAGGTGTAACGCATACGCATGCGAATGGTGCGAATGCGTATGCACATGCGAATGTGGCGAATGAATTCGCGAGTTTTACGCGACCCTAAACGCGACCAGGTGACTTTTAACGCGAGCGTATCGCCAAACGCAAGGAATTGCGAATGGCATACGCGACTGCGAATCCTGCGAATGCATGTGCCACCATTTGAATTTTACGCGAGTGACTGCGACTTGCGTGCGGGACCGTGCAATACAAAAGCTTTACAATAGCAGTACACGAGCTGTACAATGTGCAAAGTGCACCGCCGTTGCACATGACCTGCAGGTTCACAGCTGTGAACCACAGCACTCACTGCTTTCTTCATACATTTGAACTATCCCTGAATGACAGGTACGAATTCATAGCAAATCCTAACATGACCGATGCAACTCAGCCAGCAACTCTTACCATGGAAAAGGGTCCAACAGTCTAATGTCAGAAAAAATGGACACACAAATGTTAAGCGCATGTAACTGTACCACAATACAGCAACTATTGTCTTCTTATTAAAGCGCTCAATCCTCGCCTCCGCTGGTGTCATCTTCAAGAACGACGGCATATATCTGCATATGAAAGGATCACAACAAATCATTGTTTAGGCAGGAACACATAGTTGTGAGCATGTTACGTACAATGACGGCTGTAGGTGTGACACCGGCATAACGTGCCTCGAAATAAGGCAACAAAAAGCATTTAGTTAATAGCCATGGTCTTGCAACCAGAGGCTTCATACCTCCGAACGGCCGCTACGTGGCCTGCCACGTCCCGTTTGAGCCCGACTCTTGTTCATATCCTTACCACCATCCTTGCGCTTGTCCTGTTCCTTGCGATTCTCCTGCTCGTGTCCTTGGAATGTAAAATGCCAAGGCATAATGTCAGTGTATGCACCTGCATGATGGCCATTTACTGCCGGTGCCGTCTAGTCCCCCTTTTCCTGTTTTCCCCTGCTTGCCTGCGAATGAATGGTGCGCCATTATAGAGGAAGAAAGACAGATTCTTGTTATGAAGATACTAATTCATTGGGCTTTACCTTACACTGTCGTCATTGGAGGATCAGCGTGAGTATAAGAAATGCATACACGCTAAACAACAAATTCAAGATAATCTTATTAGTGCAATGCGCGCAATGAATTACTGCCCTGAGGACACGGGCAGCACTGGGCCTTATGCCCAACTTACTCCCAACTCCCAACTAACCCTCTTACTTAACGCAAGCTCGCATAAGTTGTTGCGTCAGAGACAAATGCCAAAGGAGAAGATACCCCCTCTAACGGTTGAAATACTGAACCACCACGGCGCTTCGTGCCTAGCCACAAGAGGGCCAAAGACGTGAGAGCTGCCAGACAGACACGCACACCGAAACTCCCGAAGCCAAACGCCTCGAAATACCGGTCCGGAAGCCCTTTCAGCCTCCCAGGCATGTCCCCACCTGCCTCACAGCCACCGACGCATCTCACGGCGGGGTTCTAATTGCGTGCGCGTTCGCATGCGGCATGTCCCGCCACCTTTCTGGCATCTAGTTGATGGTAGGATGAATCGTTGTGCGATGTAGGGCTGCGCCTGATGCGATTTCGTTTGTGGAAGCCCCCCCTGAGTGCTGCCAAGCATGTTATTATCTCATGAGACTGCGTGAAGGTTTACGAACTGAGTACCGTACTGCTACGAATGTTTCGCGCCACACCATTCGTTTTGGGCCACGAAGTGTGTCACAGTGGAAAAAGCTCTATGGGGAAAATTATTTGTCGCGAAAATGTCTGGCACGAATGTGTTGTACGCCGTGTACATGGTGTAGAATCGGTAAACCGCACCTGACTTTGGTGCCGCACCAACGGGCCTGTCTTCTGTTCTTCTGCGTAAACATATAGTAAACGATATGTCCAGCAGTTTGGGAGCTTTGACGCTGTCGCTCCTTGTTGTGGCTTCCCTGGAGCCCCGCGAAATGTGTGTTCATGTAAACAAATGTGTGCCATAAAAACTGACAGCCCTCGCGACTTGGTGTAACAAAACGAAAAATTCCAGCTATATTTTTGGGGTACCCGCGAAAGGTGTGGCGCGAAACATTCGTAGCAGTACGGTATGCGACCAACACATAAAACATCGCATGTGAATTGTTATGTCATGCGATTCATCAAAGGTAAATCGTGTGTGCTTGTTGTGTGTTAGTTCAGGCCGCATTAAGCTTGACGCAACGAGCCTCCATACGCTTGAAACGCAACATTTGTTTGCATGCGAATTTCGTTGCGATATGTGTGCCTTTGGTAAGTGTTAGGCTGCGTTAAGCTTTACGCAATTAGCCTTTATACGCATGAAACGCAGCATGTATTAGCATGCAATGTAATGTAATGTTACAGAGTGGGAGGCTTCTGGGCCACTTTATCACATTGTCAGTTCTAGATCATTTATCACCTTATAGCACCATCCACCACTACCACACTGTACTTCGCCATACGAACTGTAAGTCCAAGGCGGCGGATCCAGCCTTCAGGGACCCCACCTCATCCATTCACCCGAACACCCGAAGAGACGGAGGGTTCGGCAATCGCCACCAATCCAGCGTGCAAATCTGGTCCATCAACTGTGACCTCAACTCCACATCTCAGCAGCTAGCCACAATCTCGCGCTCCCGACTAATTCGGGGGTCTCCCCAGGAATCGAACCCAGGACCTTAAACCGCTAATTGCAGTAGTGTCAACCCAGACCAGATGCGAAATGCGTTGCGACATGTGTGCGTTTGGCGAGTGTTAGGCCGCGTTAAGCTTTACGCAATATTGCGTATGAAGGCTGATTAATCAGCCTTCATACGCATGATACGCAACATGCATTCGCATGCAAATAGCCTTGCGGACTGTGTGCGTTTGATGTGCGAGTGGACGCGGATTGCTTTACGCATTGTCTCCCCACACGCACGAATCGCAATATGGAATCGCATGCGTATCGCCTTGCTACACATGCGCGTATGCTTCGCGTTTCAACAAACGCACGGATGAATTGTTCAAGTCGACCAAAACGACGCAAGTTTATTTCCAAATAAACCTTTACAATCTGAAAATTATAAATTTTTAAAAAACTTGGCCAGAAGGGCCGATTTCCACTTTTCCATAGCCGTTGTGCGTTAGCTCTTTGCGCATGCTCATTCGCACCTAACGCTAAGATTCGCACCGTTACGCGAACTAACGCGAGCTAACGCGGACTAAACGCGATCACCCGTCGTCATAGTGTGAGCAGGGCGCGGAGCCACTTTGACTGTCCATAAACGTCGTGAGCACACGAAGGCAAAGTTATATATATGTACACTGTCGGCACCATCAACACAACTGCATTGCACCAGCCGCCGACCAGTTGCTGGCTAGGCCTCTGCACCACCTCTGGACCTTGCTCTGCACGAAGTTCATGGCCGAAAACCAGCACTCGTCCTCCACCGACCCTGGCACCATCACAAACACGAGCTTGGCCAAAGCCACATACTCCTTTAGGCTCTCCGCATGGACAGGGGTGTTCTCCAGCTGCTTCCAAAGCTGGATGGTGGGGCTCTCCTCCTTCTCCTCATGTAGCTTTCGCTGCACGACCTTGCTGCCAGCAGCCGCCCGCTCCACCTCAAGCTGTTCACGCAGCTTGGTGGTCTGCCCCCGAATCCGGGCCAGTCGCTGCTTGGTTGCCAAGGACCGCATGAGC